CCTGCCATGTGTTCACTCTCTGCATTTACATTTTAAGGTAATATTTAATCAGATGCTTAGCCTGGAAAATGAAGACACCCACTGAAAGCAGGTCATGATTATTATGAAAAGAAAGATCACCATGCTGGATTGCTTTACTGGGAATCTCAAAATAAGAACAGGTTAGAGATTCTGTTCAGTAAAACAATATCTTTTTAAAATCTCTTAAATGGAAATAGTATTTTTTACAGTGAGCTCTGCTGAAGGTGGTTTAGGACGCAGCCACACTGGAAGCAATATTACTGATGCGCCCTTAATTCTGCACTGAACCAAAGTCTCAGTGTAACAGTTCTTTTATCTGCTGGTGATTTCATGAGAAATAAACTGTCTGCTGAACTTTGGAATGGTTTTCCTATGGAAAACTACTTTGCATTCGTTTTATCAGGAGTGTTTTTTTAAAAAGTGCACTGCTCTATCACAGGAATAAGCATCGCTTCCGAAGTCTAGTCTTCAATTGAATCATATAATAAAGAAGGAGCTACTATATATTAAATCTATTACATTTTTGCTAACATTAATTTTAGTTTTGGAATGCTAAAAAATTAAAATTCTTATTCCTGGAAGTAATTATGAGTTTAATATTCTCGGAGGGAAGTAATTTGTATAATCCCAGATCCAAACATTTCTTTCGAGTTTCACTAACAGAATACAAATGACATCTTACACAAAATGCTACTGCAAAATTATAATCGTGTTAATTACAGCCAACACATTTCCAAAGCTATTGTTTATAAATTCAGACATTACTCTCTTGATTTGTTCAGTCTTAATAGTAATAATGCGATAAATAGCATAGTAAATAAAGCAAGTATTTAATCTTTGGTTTTACTGGTGACAAAAAAATAAGTTTCTTAGATTTCAAGATAATTTAACTGAAGACATATTTGCAACTGAACATTGAAATAGTTTCTCTCTTAACATGGGATTTAAAAGAACCTCGCCAAAAAAGACACAAGGGGAGAGATTAACCTAAAGAAGCATAGAAATAAATTTACTAATCAAAAATGGAAATCTCTACTGCTAATAGCAGATTTGTTACATAACAGAAAGCAAATTAAGTCCAGGCCCAGATGAATGCAACTCTAGTGAAGCCCAGGAGATATATGCAAGTGAAGAATTTAAGCTTCCTTAATCTTCCCACATGGTATGATTAATCACCCACCTGTGGACTCTGTTCCAAAGATAACAGAAACAATATAAAATTACTAGTGTTGTGCCACTATACAGTTATGCTTTTAAACAAAATAATGCATTCCCCTTCTCCCTCTTGCAAATGTGATTCAGTCGTGTGTGATCTGTGACGCAACAGAATAATATTCTTTGTTGCAACTGGTTCCTATTAGCGATCCTGTCTGTATAGCTGCAAAAAGGGCTGAAGGTTGGCAATCAGCTAAGCATGGATTAAAATTTAAGGCCATATTTAGGTTGCATAACTTCTACCCCACAAGTTAAGCAATAAGCGTTTGGTGAGCAGGGAGCTGGTGTCGCCGGAGATCAACGAGAAGGGGCCGGGAAGGCGCGGAGCAGGCAATGGGGAAAGGCAGCTGGAGGAGCGCTGGCGAATGGGGGCTGTCTCCCTGTGGTCCCAGCACCTCGAAAGTCTGTTGAGACTCAACCTCCACCCAAATCAACACATAAAAACCCTTGTCACGTAAACGGCTTATTCCCATTCTCAAGAGCTGTGTGCAGGACACAGTTTCATTCTCTAGTCTCACTGTACATTACTACATATGGGGTTTGAAACTTTTTTAATTTAAAAAAACCTAAACCACTACCTGCCTATATATGTCAATCTGCTACCTGGATTACCTTGCTTAAAATACACCTACATTCCTTGTGGCTGGCTTCAAAATATTCTGACAAATTTCATGCATGGTAACACACAGGCGTGCTAGAGGATGCAGAAAGGAGAGTTAAATATCAAGATTTGCTAAAACCATTCTTTTAGTTTTAGACTATTACCACTGGTATCCCTGTACTTCACATCATATTTCAAGTTTGGACCCGAGTCTACAAACATGCCCACATGCACTTGATTTTCACCTTGTGTGGAGGCCAATTCCTGTTTAGAAATATAAAAAACATAGGATCATAGCACAAAATAGACATAATCTCTGGGAAACAGTGCAAGGAAAAAAAATAACATAGCCTTTTATAACCTTAGCACATGCCCAAACATACCGCTCCCTGTAGTTTTGACTGAGTAAACATACTCTTCCAAGCTGCCCCAGGTAACCCCTTTGTCCCTGCCACGACGTCAAGAGATCACTCTTAGAATCATCCCCACGTCACCTGTCAAAGGGCAAGTTACGTTTCTAGATAGTTTTAAGATTTGGGATAGCTACAAGACATCATGAATAACTGCGTACCTAAGGCTTGGGTCCGAAGGAGCAGTGAGAGCCTGAGCAGGGTGCCTGGGTACCAGCAGCCCCTGCGACCGGGGAGGGGGGGGCAGCTGCTGAAACGGGTCAGGAACATCAGCAGAGGAGAAACAGCACCGACAGCACCTGAGCCGAGCCCAGAACGCAGGCTGCCGCCGCTGCTCAGCGCTACAAACAGCCTTTCGCTCAAGGAGCAGGTGGGACAGCAGTGATCTCAAAATATTTTCTAAGATTAGGTCATGATTACACCTCCAGGCTAACTACTGGAGAAGACTCCTAAAGCTAAGGAAGAGTTGAATCCAGGAGTAAATCTGCTCTTCTCCCCAAAGACTGAGTTAATGCCTTTTATTTCCCTTGAGCCAGCGCACATCTCGTAATGTGCTTAGAGTCCAGGACTGGAAATGAAACAGCCGTGTCTTGAACAAGCATCCACCCCAGCAGTCCAGGACAAAGAGGGGACATTCCTGTCCAAGGGAAAGGCGTGTTCTCAGTTCTTCACACAACACAGGGAATCAGTAGTTGAAAGGGGAAAACCGTCCTTCACAAAGTATAAAAAAAAGGACAGAGAGGTCAATGAATATAGCGCCTGACCCCACGAACCTTCAGACTTGAGTGGTTTCACCAGAAACAGGTCAGAAAAAGAAGTTTTATATAATTATAATTTTTAAATTCTCCCTGGCATACAAAAATGGGGTTTGTATATGATAAAATTTTTGGACTTTCTTCTTGATAAGAATGACACAATTTAAATCAGACATCCGAGAAGGCCATTCGTATAACAAAATAATTTTAACCTTTTTCAAGGAACTGCAGTAAATCTGGAAGTCTGCAGATGTGCAAATGGTATAAAATAATGTTAAATGATACAGTATTCTCTTTATTTTAACTCTATTTCAAGAATACCTAGCTTCAGAATACAAAGGCAGGTTCTGCAGACAACCCCCACCGCTGCCAGGCTTCACGCGCTCTGCGCCGCAGTTGTTAGCCTACCACGAAGCAAATCATTAATCTTTGGCCAGCAAGGTGGTCAGCAGTTTGAAGAGAGTATACGGAAACCTGTACAAGAGCAAAACTGCCTCAGCGGCTCATTACAAAGTTAAAATACAGAACCAAAGTGCCTGATGAAACGCCAGGGCTGGTGGAAGCTCCCGAGCAGCCCCGAGATTTCTCTTCGCTCAGACTGGACCTATCGCACTAAGCTGCTACTGAAAGCATGTTGAAAACAGCAGAAATATAATTTTCTTTCTTCTCCTCTGTGTTTTAATTCTCCCTTTCAAAACCACCAAAAATGATTCTACGAAGAGAAAAATTACTGTCCCCAGTCCTTCTTTAAAGAAATCACTCCAGCAAACACTGAGTTTCACTGTTTTCCGTATGCAGGTGCTTCTTTAAAGAAATCACTCCAGCAAACACTGAATTTCACTGTTTTCTGTATGCAGGTGTCTGTAAGAGTGTATTAGGGGAAAAAAATAATCTTGACTACAATGTTTCATACTATCAAGAGTATATGTAAACTTTCAACAGAAATTTGTAGTCAAACAAACCATTGCTGCCAAAACACCTGAAACAACTTTAGTAGATACTCTTCTGAAGAAACTGAAAAAGGGAAAGCAACAGCATAAATTAATAGGGAAAAAACCTGATTTCCAGTTGTAATCATCCCAGGTATAGCAGATAAACATGATTTGTGTCTATGATTTTAAATATCCTCACTAAATTTTATTTAAGGGCAGATTAAAAAAATATAATCCAGTTATTCTAAGTATTATGCAACAGTGGCCATGGCACACAGAGACCCAACGTGACACCGTTATCAGCTGCAGCTGTTCAGGTACTCAGAAACCTCCCACACCAAACTAGAAGTTTCTAAGACACAGCAGAAAAAGAGGTATATTGACATCCAGGTGATACTGAACTTAAAGCAAATTGTATTAGGGTGAAAATCCCATGAAGATAAAAAGAATAAAAGAAAAACCAAACCAACCTATCCCAGAATAAAATCCCAAATGATCAAAGTCTGAACTGAAACATTGTCTCAGGTTTTTCACACAAAACTGTATTATTGCCTGTGTGAATGTTTTGCACAATACATTTAAAAAAAAAAATATTTAAAATAACATTCAATCCAGCCTATTAGGAAGGCTAAAAAAAAACCCTTGCTTGTAACTTGCAAGTTCAATAGCTCATGTCATACCAGCAACTTTTAACGTGCCAGGAAATCTAAATAAATAACTTGCATAATACTCAAAAGCACCAAGAGAGGCAAAGTTCCCCCTTGGCTAGAACGTACATAGGATGCTCTGCACGTGGATGGAAAAGGCTCTGCAGATCGTCTGCAGTGGAAATCAGCTAGGCTTTCTCGTGTCTGAAACCTTACATTTGTGCCGTTCGCCACCTGGTTTTCCACAAATCTCAGCTGGTCAGCCTTTTTCTTCCTTTTCTTCTAAGTGGAAAGAAGCACAATAGGCCTCTGGGCCTAAAAAGAAACCTTTTAGTCTCTAGCACTGAATTTTGAGACACGTTCATTTGACAAGACGACACGGGAAAACACATAATCAAAAACATTCTTTATTAATGATTTCAGAAGTCATCTTCTGAATCATAATCCTCAATTTTTTGCAGTGGTCGCTTAACACCTATTATTAAATCTATGGAGAGAAGCTCTGTAACACAACGAAGAACTGAAATGACTAACTGGTATTTACAATACACTGATTCTAAGCCTGTCTGATTCACAGGCAGTGTCTGATTTTTTCTGAGTGCATTTATGGCTTTGAGATAGAATTTGGTAAAGCTGTTTTGTTCTGTTGCCCTGTATAACGACTTGGGAATACTTAGCAAAGCATCAGCAACTACATTAGATATGACAGTTACCTCTGACTGCTGAAACTGGTTTGCATAGTACTGAATATAATAATGTAACAGGATTTCAAAATAACCTCCTACTGGCAAAACTGATCCTGCTTCTATGAGGGAGTTGGAATTATTCTGTGCAATACTTACACAACTCTTTTTATGTTTAAATGGGACTATATCGCAACTTGTTTTCTCTAGATCTTTGCCAACATCTAGGCGTTCACATGCAGTGACTATATTAGCACGCTGTGCTGCTGATGCAGCGGTACTGTAATTCTTTTGATTGTCCACAAGTGAATCACTTTTATAGTTCTCGTGCACGTCACCCACATGCTCGCATTTTGCATGTGGTTTCTGTACATCTCTTGAAGAGTCATTTCCTTCAGTGGAAACATTTAATTCTTTGATGTGTGAGAGGGGATTTGAGAGTACTTGCAAGTTTGTTCGCACACATGTTGGATTTTCACTTCTCCACAAGTCAGGGTCTACAATCTGCGTCTCTGTTTCACCCCTATGCATCTTCAGTTGACTTTCAGAAACCTGATTACTGTTACAAGCAATATTTTCTATTACAAGTTGCTGCTGAGTAGCTGAAGAACGCCAGCTGCAAACATCAGCGGCTTCATTCTGACTTTCACCTTCTGCTTTGCCTTGCTCCCTCTGATCAACCGTTTTAAATAGCTGCTGCAGCATTGTAAACGCCCCTTGTAAAGCAGCAGCATGCTGCTCGTTAACACCACCGACTGGCCCACAAAGAATTAGGCAGTGAGGCTGGAAGGCGCACACACTGGCGAAGCCAACGTGGACGCATCGCTTTGAGCCGAGCAGCAAGGGCTGGCAAAACGTTGCTACTGCAGCTTCGGTGATTTCTCTGTCTATGTTACTACCAAAAGGTGTATAAGGCGGGAGTCCTGTGATTTCACAGATAAGGGCAATTTCTTCCGACGATAAGCACTCTACCACAGATACGCCGTATAATTTTGCATGGTAGATAACTACTTCCTCTTGCTTCACACTCGACAGTAACAGCTTAACGTTGTTCCTCTGCAAGTGTTTCATTAAGGCTTCTGTCCTCCCCGAGATCCAACGCAGGGAGGCCCGATACTGACCCTCGGACTCGACAACAAACTCGACGCCGGGGGCCGACAGCGCGGGCCGGAGGGG